GCAAGGGTGTGTTCTTGAGGGAATCATTGCTTGATAAAGCGAGGACGGGAGCGTCGCTCAGCTTTCAAACATGAATGAAGGAAAATATGAACACCTATAAATTTCAAACATGATATGAATGGCAATGAGCTCACTCCTGTGCAGTCGATCGATTGTATTACTACTCATTCAGAGAATAGCGTCGACTCTCAGAGAACTACTTACTTTCCTTCAGAGATTTATAAAGCGTTTCGCAACGAATACTCGTTTCTTTCTGAAAAATGTCCATTCTCCCGTTTTCGGGGAGTCTGTGTTCCTGATGGCTATGAGATAGTTGCCGCTGATACTGATGCTGTAGGCAGTAATTTGAGGACAATCTTATGTTATAGAGCACCGTGTGATACCTGCGATAAATGCGAAAAATTATTAACTGCGTTAACGACACTTGTGTGAATGCTAGAATCTGCCTTCCTATAAAAAATTCAACTTCTCTGATATTGACTAGAGAGATTTGGGATCTCCGTGTTCGGGAGTAACCCAAAAGTCTTGGATATGGTCAGAAACCATGTCCTACATTAGTTTGTAAGGTCGGAACTGGAGCCCAAAAGTTTTAGATCTTTCATTTTCTACTGAGCAGTCTATCGTCAAAATGAAAGAGTAGAGGTGGCTCCGCCTAAAGGGAATTAAAGATCACGCGAGCATACATTCATGCCTGAAATTACGTAAGTGTAAGCGAGACAAGTTGCCTTAAGATTGACAGGTCTGAATGTGAACGAAATGTATGATGGCTCTTTCCGTTAAAACGACGTGTTGACTGGCATCTTCCAGTGCGTAAGGTGCGATTATGCTTAGCATGTACCACGCTTCTTTCATTCCATTTACGATAAGAAAGTAAATGTAAGGTGTGAGATGAAAGTCGCAACCAATAGTTTCGTGGAGAAGCAAATAATCGATAATGGGAGGACTGTAGCTTTGTTAGAGTACATAGCTTCTAGAATTAGGTGAAAGAAGACCCACAACTTTGCTTACTGCAAATGGTTTACCAATTTATTCTGCTTTTGGAGCCGAATATTTTTCTGAACCTTTTCTGACAGTTTTCAGTCGAAATGGGGGTAAGTTTTGTGTTGATACGCCGTTACCTGGGGTTTCCCACAAACAAATGAATCATTATGTTGGCTTATCCGAAAAGTTTAGCCGATTTTGAAAACCCTCGGTCCATCAACTGTTGTACAAAAGATCAAGGATCTAACCTTGCAGTCTTATATGTTTTCTGAAAGAGTAGGTCTCCTTCTATACACCTATTAAGATTAGGTCTGTATTTGTCGAAGTTTGTCAGTACAGGACTCGTGTAAAAATTGAGAACCATTGGGTGCATTCTCGGCATCCGAAGCTTTTCTTCTACCGCAAGGCGTAGAATGCGTCTTGAGCTGCGAGAAACATTTGTAACGTTTGAGTAGACAATGCTATAGATGAATGTACAGCGCGTGATCGGTTTGCGAAATCCAAATAGTGGATTCGCTCTCGGAGACCGGCAGCCCTTATGGGGCTATCATCAGTTAAAACGACCAAATCAAAATGTTAACGGAAGTGAATCGACACAACACTTTTCGTGGAGTAGGACGAAGGCTTAATGTTTCAAAATCAACCATCCATGATCATTCGCTGGACCTTTGTTTTGTAAAGCGCCTTGATGTTGGGATGCCTCACGACATGAGCGAGCGCAATATGATGGACCCCGCCTCCGTGTACTCCTTGCTCAAACGAAGTAAAAATAGGCTGTTTTCAAAACGCATGAGTACGGGGGACGAAAAGTGGATCGTGTACAACGACGAGGAGCGGAAACGACCGTGGAGCCTTCCCAATGAGCCGTCACAAACCGCTGCAAAAGTCAAAATCCAGGTGCGAAAGGTTATGCTGTGCTGCTGGTGTGCTTGGACAGAAATCACTTATCATGAGCTGTTGTCGCATAATCAAACCATAACTCGTGAAAGGTACTGTACCTAGTTTGACAATTTGGGGCAACAATAGACTAGAGGCGACCCGAACTGACCAATCGTGAGGGCGTTGTCTTCCAACAGGATACTTTCAGACCACATGTATTTTTGGCCACTCGCCAAAAATGGCTGGAGCCTGGGTGGGATGTCTTGTCACACCCCCCATATAGTCCGGACATAGCACCATCAGACTACCCCTTGTCTAGGTTTCTGCAGAGCTCTTTAAGTGGGAAATCGTTCAATCCGCTGGAGTACTGCAGAAAGCACTTGGGAGAGTTTTTCGATTTTCAGTCTGAAACCTTCTATGAAAGTGAGATACTGGAACTTACACGAAGATCTCGAATCCTTACTGAACAGAATAGAGGATATATCGTTCAATCAACGGATTTCTTATTCTGGGAATTTTCACTCAAAGATGAATCAAAAATCGGTGGAGACTTTTCGGACAGCCCAGTAGTTTAAGATCAGAAAATCTTCGATTTCTTTCGAAATACGAATCCAACTCAAAGAAAACCTCAGATGTTATTCCTTTCCGACTCATCGAGGGAATTCTGCCTTCTATGGTAGGTCCTTTGGAGCCTGTTTTCAACCTAAGTCCTTTTCGAGATGAAGTATCCGACGTATTGGTTATCATTTATAGTTCTTATTCAGTAAAAGCATCCGCATTTTGAATTTGAACCCTTGCAATTACAGACCTGTATGCGTTACCTCTACCATTTGTGTCATAGAACTTTTAAAGAATCAATCAAAAGGGTTATTGCGGAACATTTGGAAAAGCAGTGTGTTCTTCCTGATGTCAGCATGTCATCAGGAAAGCGAAGTCGAGTCAGTTGCTAGAGTTTAAATGATTGGACAGACGCTTTAGAGCAGAAGAAGAATGTTGATGTGAGTTACTTTGATTTTTGCAAAGCACTTGACAGGGTAAACCAAATCAAGCTTTTTTCAGAGCTAAACATGTTGGGGTTGACCCTCGGATTCCACCACTAATTAAGAACTACTCAAGTGGACGATTGCAGTTGGTACCTAGCTTTTGCTCTCTGAGGCCCCGCACTTCTTATCAGTTGTTAACAGTTCCTGTCATAGAGTACATTGTTATATCCTACATCACCTATTAAAATGCTAAAATTTCACTAATAACATGAAGGGCGTTATAGAGCTGATGACTACAGCCTTCTATAGCTTTTGTCAGCCTTATCGCTTTATATCAGTCCTCGTCACTGATCACTTTTGGTATAATCACGTCTCACACCACCTACTGAACTGCCAAACCTCCACTGTTAACACAAAGAGCGTCATAGACCTAGTGGCTCTCGCCTTTTATGACTCGTGATCAGTTCTTAATAGTTGCTGTCAATTTCCTCACCGAACATTTACGGTTTCTTCCTAATCCACACCTTTACTATAGTGCCAAGGCCTTAATCCACACCTTTTACTACAGTGCCAAGTCTTCCTCGTTAACAAGAAGGAGGTGACGTATCCTGCGGCTCCTGTTCTGAGGCACCCTATCAGCTACTGTTCTGAGGCACCCTATCAGCTACTATGTGTTGCTATCACTTCCTATCACCTATCATCAATGTCCCCATACTGCCACCTGTACTCCTACCGGAATCGAACGCTTTAGATGCACGGGAATAGAGGTTATGAATTTACACAATAAAATTTATTTCGCGCAACCCTCGTCCCCTGGAGGACAAGTCCGGACCTGCCACCCATCGTTGGTGTTCCAATCTTGCGACCTCTACCTCTGCCAAATTGAACTCTCTAGGTCCACGGGAACAGGAGTTATGAATTGTAGCTTGAGCATTCAATTCGCGCAAACTACTGCCACCTGTACTCCTACTACTTTGGACTCTCTAGGTCTACGCGAACGAGATTTATGAATCTCCGGTCAAAGATTTATTTCGCGCCCACTCCGTCCACTATAGGCGGACTCCAGTGGTGCCATCTACCATCAGCATTCCCATACTGTCGTCTGTACTCAGTTATTATTACATACACACATACACACATGCACTCATACACACAAACACCAACCCCTACATACACATACATAACACACACCTACACACATTCACACATACACCCATGCACACTTACACACATACATACATTGACGCCATTTTGGTTGGAGAAGCTAATAATAGTTCTTAAATGATTGAAACTGTGGAAGGAGCCTTTGACTGCATATGAAACCCCAGGTCTCAGTCAGGAAAGGCTCGGGGTACTGTCAATTATTATGCCGATGGATGTAAACTCAAAACTTCACTGTTGTCAGAGATCCGGGATTTCTGTCTGTACACAAGAGATCCATGTAATCTCATTAGGTCTTATAGATAATGTACTCACCCTATTTCGGAGCACGGACTGCGGGTTTCCCGTGTAAGTAAAGAATAGATCACTAGGGTGAAGTTAGTAAAAAATCGCCTCTATGGAAAATTCTCAACCAAGCCGTTGGCTTCAATCATAAGTCCATTGTTCCATTCCAAGTCAGCTGGTCAGGAAGGGACATTGGATGGAAATGTGAAACCTAGCGATCAGAGTCTACAAAAGCAGCTATTACCTCATACAGCACATGTAGTGGTCAGTAGCTTGCGTCATGAAGCCTGTGACATCTTTCAGTGTAGAGCGTTGAGCGTTAATCGTTGAGTGCCTGTACTCTATTGACAACACCGATCGTCGATCGATACCGCAAGAGTCGTCTGTGAATAATTTCTCTACAGAGTTTTCATTGAATGTGTTATTCACGTCTTCATTTTTTTTATAGAGATATATATACACTTCATTTGACCTCTATTGCATTATGTAAAGAAATATCAATCCTTGAAAGAGCTCTAGGCTCAACGCTGTACTATGAAAGCGCTCTGATATGATTTTCCTACACCATGCCGAGAATCAAAGTGAATTATATTTGTACAGAATATGATACGAACCCTGACACTACCATGTGTAAGATTTGGAATGGACTTCACTATTCACTCACTTCACTAGTTCCCAACTTATGGGCATTGACAAGATTACACATTGAGGTTAACAAGTAGTCCCATAACGCACCTCTCCACCGAAATTATCCACAATTCTAATGTACGACACACGAAATACAGGATCTCGCGAAAAAGAAATTCCAACGTTGTGAACGCGAAGCCCATGAGCAACTATTGACTTTGATTCAGGACAACTGAAAACTTGCCTTCAAAAGCAGAACTCGGAGCAGGAGTAGAAAAAGCGACAGCATGACAAACCGAGGCCAATATTCGGAACATCGATCCCTATTCTTTCTCCCAATCACCATAAAAATATATGACGCTTTCTCTTGCCAAACCATACGCCAGAAATCGCCTAAAATTATGCTTTGTTCAGCTTGTTTTGATCGTGTGTATAGGATCGAAAATGCAACTTCGGCACATTTGGAGATGTTTGATCAAACTAATCACCAATAGTATTCTCCATGGGGGCTTGAGTCAGAATGAATTTATTGAATAGAGGACCGCCGCATACATAATTAGCGTGAATAAATGTATTCTCGCTACCATACGGATATTGAAGTGTTACTCTAGATGAGTCACGACATTTCACTCCTAAGAAATTAATGTAACAAAATGAACGAAAACTGAGCATAGCGTCTTCTTCTTCCCTTTTTTACAAGAAAATATACAGACTCACTCCAATTTCTACATTTGTCCAAATTCTTATCAAACGCTTCGTGAGTAAAAGGTAGGTAATTCACCTGATTGTCCAATATTTCAAACCTAAAGAAGATCGATAAAAGATCATCAACAACTCTAGTGAGACAGTAGGCCGAATGAGTAAAAGTACCTTCCTTCGCGATGTATATCGATTGCCATCAAGAGGGGCAAAGAGATTAAACGTCAAAGGCACAATTCACGACAACTCTGGGTTTCCCCGTTTTAGGCGCGTAATGGAAGTGATAGTCGAGAGCAGTGCAAAAAAAGGCAAAGAAAACGAGAAAATCGGCGTAATAAAGAGGTATAACGTTTAAAAAAAGTAAAAATAGGGGCTGGACAAGAACGTTACGAAAAGGAGCGGCATGGAAGGGGTATTTGGACGAGCTGTTCGAATGCGCGCGCCACTGTGTACAGCTGGCTGCAATACGCTGCCTGCGTGCTAGGTGTGTCGCGGTGAAGTGCTGCGCCTTCTACAGCTTTTACCAAGCTCGACAACTCGTCCCCTTGGGTGGGCACATCGGCCATGCCGGTTTTGGGGAGTCCTTACCACGCCATAGCATGACTATATCTCGACCGGCCGCGACTCTTACGCTGTCCTTGGGGGGTCACAGGTTCATTCTGGAGGAAAGCCTCAGAAACCATTTTTAACGTGAACGGTGCCTTTAATAGAATGTCGATATAAAGATCAATTTGTTACCTTCTTTCCATACCGCCCGTGATACTGCGAATAAATTTTTGTTTCTTGCTTGGCCCAAACATTCGCTTACCCAATTGTATATTATTATAATCTGAACAGAAAAACTTACAAGGAAAGGATACTCACCAGGGATGGGCTTCAACTTTTGGAACCTTGAATAGAGACCTAGGTATACCGATAGGGCTTGAATGGTTAATAACAAATATGGAAATCACAACTGTAAAATGAGTCTGTTAAAGAAGTTGTATGCGTTTAAAGTTTGCATGCTTAAAGCATGGAGAGATATTGAAAGTTGATAGCGCAGTTGCCCACAATGGCCACAAGTGTCACCGTGGCGTAGTGGCAGTGCTTTCCCTCTCCAGGTGGGCGATAAGGGTTTGCTTCCTGTTGTCGTTTTCGCTTTTGCAAAACGTGCTTTTATTCGAATAAAAGCTATCAAACCGTTTTCCTTACTAATTTAGGTCGACGTTTTGTTTCGACTACCATTTGCGATCACTTATCTATCACCAATCACCGCACTGCAGAGTTGAACGCTCGCAACTTTTCTGGTGGAATCATTTTGCAATTTCAATTTCCATATCTGTCAATAACTTTCCAAGCCCTATCGACATACCTAGGTCTCTATTCAAAGTTCCATGGTAAGTTTAAACCCTTCCCTGGTCATTCGCAGGGGTCACTCATGATGATATGTACACCGCCATAGGTGGTTAGAACACTGATCTCAAATTTGTGTTCCAAATCTGCTGAACGATTACGGAAATCACACCGATCTTTGCCGGTTCAGAGCACCGACTTATACATCGGCTGGCCGCCGCAAGTCATTGTATAGGCCACATACGCATTCATTACGCCACTATGATCCTGAATGGAAGTGGAATGCGGAAGCGCGTCCCTCAGACGGGATAGATTAACGTTAAAAGACTTGAGCCTTTCGCGATCACAATGATACTCTGTGATCGCCTGATGATAACGCGACGATTGGACCTATCACATCACGAGTGGAACTTCGTAGGTTTGTGGTAATATGGAGATTTCAGAGTGAAATGGACCCCACCTTGTGATTTGGTCCGTGAGCTTCAATTTTATGGCGGTGGTAGAAGGGACCGTAGCCCTCATAAAGTCTGTGAGAAAAAACACTTCCTCGCACATAGAAAACCAGTTTCGTTCCACAACTATCGAATGCCACCTGCGGAAATTAATAGGGAGCTAGAAAGACCATGTGCTTCCAAACATGTCTATTTTCGACAAATTATAAAGTTATCATAAGCTGAATATAGGAATCTCATTGCAAGACAGTCATTTCCACTAAATGACGCTGGAAATCAACATTAAAGCCTCAAAGAGGCCACCATCAAAGCAAACCAGTAAGCAGCAATGAATTCAGGGTTTATTGACCAGCGGTGGTATTATGTTTACATCCCACTGCATCATCCACGTTCAGCTCAAGAAAAGGTTTCTTGACAATTGTTGATTTTCATATGCGCACATCATTCAATCAACTATTATTCCACAGCATTCTTAACCCATTGACGACAGTGCAGTCCACGTGTGGACTACACTTTTTGGACTCGTGGGACGGTGTAGTCCGCATATATTTTAGTTTTGTTTAAGAATTTTCCTTGTCAAAACAAAATCAGGTCTAATTTTACAGATATTAACAACGACCATGAACATCCTACTTATATTATACGCTAAGTATGTCTGTGGGTGTGTTTGTGTGTGTATGTGTGTGCTTGTCTGACCGGAAATCCGTAACTCGTGCCCCACTGAACCCAGAGCCTAGAAGTTCCTCCCTGGTCCAGTTCAAGAACTACCGAGCCTGTTAACAGACCATTTCTGTGAGGATCTCTTCCAGCATAGCCTTCGATTTCTGAGTTACATCCACTTTACGCACTAAATGGACAGTCTGATACCATGCCGGTGTTTTTTCGAAAAAATGTATTACCTGCGGTGAATTCTTCCTCTGTAAGGGAGTAGTGAGTGAGAAACTTCTCCTCATTAGGATCCATAAGGAGCTGACTAAAATTCGCGTTCCGCGTATAATAATCGTTAGTCACATCCTATATTTGTAAATTCAGAGAAAACTAAACAATCCTCAACTCACAAGTTGGCTGAAAAGTATAGGATGCTTCATTTGGCGCTCGCCAGCACTTTGCCGATAGGCATTTTGTAGACCTTTGAAGACTGTGATTTGAGACTTTGATACACAGAAGCTGTGCAAAAAAAGCAGAAACTATTATAAAACTATTATAAAGCAGAAACTTGGTGTGTCGGTTTGTCGGTATGTCTGTCGGTGTGTCTGTCCGCAAACTTTGTGATTACGATAAAGGCAGTGATATGGAAAGCCTACCTCTCACATTTCCTTCTTATACATAAGGCAGTAACTTGGTGAGTGGGTTAATGAAGAAGAGTGAGTACTGCGTAGTGAAGTGATTGAGGTGAGTGGAGTGTTTACTTGATAAGTGTGATTTCGAACTAAACTGGCATCGTGCTATGTATGTTTCTACAAAGATCTGAGGTGATTGAGCGCTGGAGCGCAGATAAGGAAATAAATCCATAATTGTGCTTAGGAAAGTTTGTTAGCCGAGAATATATAGTATTTTGACCTAACTTCAGGAGGAAAGGAGTTCAACTCATACCTCATCCAAGCTTACCTCCACCCCGTCGCTCATTCCCTTCTTACTCTCAAGGAAAAATCTATATTCCCGCGTTAACCGTCTAAGCACAGGCAAGGTGAGACTCCTTCTTTTACCTAAATCTTCACCGTCGCATAAAAACGAAGCTCCCCTCCCCTCGGAGGTTTTCTAACCACTTTGTGAAAGTAAGGAATGAGGCCCGACGTAAGCCGGGTTATATCTCTAAGCTAAGGGTGTGTGACGATTCGCGCGCGGCAAATTGCGCGGCGAAACCGCGATGATCCAAACAACGCTGGCGCCTATCATTGGGACACAAACTTGAAGTAGGGTACTTTAGTAGGATCGGACAATCCTACTAACCTACTTTACTCCAAATTTGGACCCCATTGGTAAACGCTGCAGTCGTCCAAATCGCACCGAATTTCGCCGCACAATTTGCCACACATACCCAGAATCGCACGAATCGAACGTCCCCTTCGAAGCTAAGCAGTAAATGGGCGGGTAGGTTAATGGAGTGGAGCCTTATGAGTCATTTCATTGAACGTCTGCGTATCCCTCGCAATGAAAGTTTCTGCGCAGCGATCCACCATTGAGAAGTTGCTAAGAAAAGGTCTCAGGAGTTCTAAAATGGCGAAGCGACTCGGCCTCCCCTCTTCAATGGTTCGAAATGTATCTGCTGCTTTCAAGGCTCGAGGACATACCTCTGAGATGCCAAAAAATGGACGACCGAGATCAGTGAACCTACCAGGGATTCGTGACAATATTGAGAAGAGAAACCACCCGCAACGTTGGAGTCCGCACAAATCGGATTGCTCCCCGCCTCCACATCAGCCTACACTGTTCATAAGATAGTGGAATGCCTAAAGCTGACCAGCCGTCGGCACAGCTGAGGACAGATTGTTCCGAAGCAGTCCGAGCAAAGTCGGCTGACGAGATGCAAGAAACTTCTCCAAGAGCACTGGGCCGGCCGCATCTCTGACGTGATCTGAACTGATGAGAAAATAATCACCGTAGAACCTTCTCAAACCGTCAAAACCAGAGACAGTTATTGCCAGAAGCTGACGACGCGCCTCCAAAACTTTGTTGTGAGCATAGCTGGCTATCTTTCGAAAGTGTGATTATTTGGGCCGGTTTGACATGCGAAGCAATCTTGGACTTCATTGGTAAAAATGTGAAAACTCATTGACTCCGAACTTTACCAAGAGATACAATAGATGGTCGTCCTTGTTAATCTTGGTCAGTGAGCACTTCGGTAACTGATCGATCATCTTTCAACAAGATAAGGCCCCTCGCATGCCTTAAAATTGACGAAAGCCGTAGTCACTGCGCATTTCTCCAAGTACTGGGGCAAGGATATCTCACCTTCCTCTTCGCCAGACCTCAATGCAATGGACTCCTCGGTGCGGGGGTATTTGGTGAGCAAGGTGAGACCGAACGTCTACACGCCTATGTAAAAGCGAAACGACAAGACTCCGAACGCCTCATGTCCTGAGTGGTCATGCAGCTCCACTCTGATCGTCAATAAAGTAGACTAGTCTACCTTTCCTATATGTTCGAAATGACGTTTAGAAAAGTGGCGTCTTATACTTTTCAGCCACCGTGTAGAATTCAAAAAAAATGGTCATGAAGGACCATGTAGTCTACATAAGGGCTGCAGTCACGTGTAGAGGAGAAGCGCGCCGGTCCCTCACGGCGCTTTTCCGCTTAACGTGATTGTCGCCAATGAGTTAAAAATGTCAGTAAAGTTGTAACGGCGTTGCAAAGGTCAGATGATCATCGCGAGTGTTCGGCGTAGAAAGGCGTATCTGTTTGGTCAGCCATGATGAAGAAAATTTTTGTTGAATTAGTATTCTCCGGTATCTCAAATGTGGGGGAGTGCAGTAGTTAGTAAATATTGAGCACAACAGCATTTTGCAAGCGTCTAGCATTTAGAACCCACATGGGAAAGCGAAAGAGCGCGTGCATCAAGGAGATGAACGTCCCTGTCATGCCAACAGGTTAAACATCCTACCAGCTGCGCCACCGCTGGACAGCGGCAGCTTTGCTCGGCTCGGTCATCTATTCGGTGCAGTGGTATAACACAGGAAGCAATCGGTTCCATGACTTTCTTTCCAGAATCGTTTAGCAGATTTGGAACACATATTGATAATAGCGTCTAAAACCACCTACGGCGACACGCATCTCATCTTAAATGACCACTGCGACCAAATATCCATCCCTAGTTAGAATCTAGTGTAGACCTGAGCACTACTATAAACAAAGGAACGTTCTTTAGAGTAACAGTATGCATACGCCTATATCAGACATAGCGATAGAATTCAAAGGGAAATCAAATAAAAAGCCAGAGCCAAAGACGACAGGTATGTAGTGCAACCTACATTTCCCAGCAACTCGAACTCTGCCTTGATCCGCGTACGTTTGCTCGTTGTAGAGAGCAAGGCGCATGTGTACTGCGTGTGGATCTAATTCAGTGGCAAGATAGTACAATAGGTCAAAGTTCCTAATAATAAACACTGACTTGAAAAAAAATAACGAAAATCGTGAAAACAGAAATATACAAGATGTCTCAAAATTATGGGCACCACAACTTAGAAATTTCCGAGGTAGGAATAGTTCATTAATTTCAATTAGTTCGCTTTTGACTAATTGCGCAAAAAGGTTTTCATGCAATATGCATAGTTACTGATCTGGGACTCCCAATATATTTTAGATAGTAAACGCTCCTTCAATGCCACTAGCAATCATTTGCACGCAAGAGGAGGAAATGCTTAGTCAAATTACTTGTGATTCCAATGACGACCGTATAGAAAGCTCTTTAATGATACAGAGAAGCACAATCAATCAAAGATAGAGCTATAAGGGATAGAAATATTACTGCTTCTGAAAAATGGGTTATTGTTAGTTTGTTTCCGAGTCGATCACGATTCTGGGTGACCCATCAAAAGGAAAGCAACAGAGCAGGATTTATCGAGCTGTCGATGAGACGGATTGTCAAGCAGAAGCTTTATTGCCATTGCTATCACCTGCACTTCATTTACGATTTTGACAGTGAGCGTATCTTCAAGAAATACAAAAAGATGCTAACTCTTTCGAGGGTAGGCACGTATACCACAAAGCCAAGCTTGTGCAAAAGTGGCGGCGGCGCCAGATGCCCATTTTCATTAACCTAGAGGAATGGAAGTCCTCCTCTCCAAATCTCAAAAACTCTACTCCTCCCTGTGGTCAGCGATTAGAAGAGAACCTGTCACGTTTGCAATCCTTGTTCGGAAACCTCGAGAGTAAAACTCGAGAAACGTTGGAAAGAAATGGAGGAGAATGCGTGCAAAATGCGAGAAGTTCGAGAGCAGACACTAGGCGCTGTTCGTGCTGATGGGCATAATTCGAAGTGGGACTGTAGGTTGTTGTTGTACATAATGAAAGCAAATGTGCATGTAGATTCAATTGTCATTCACAACTTAGAAGCCTCAAGTACATAGTAATGATTTGGCACCCATAATCTTGGAACTATGTATGTAGACGTGCAATTAAATCGGAGACATACTTCAGACCAAGATGATCGTTCTCCACTAGCCAAGCACTTGGCTCACTAGTTATCTCTAATCGAGACTTCAAAACTAGCGCACGAGCTTCTTTCAGAGTGACATTTTTATTGTCAGCGAAGAAATTCGGCGATATCCCAACCTACATATCGATATTACGTCATCAATTGTGCAACCAATATAACAACTACGTTAATAAAGATATCCGAGAAGTTTCAATTTTACAGCAGAAAAAATTGCAACAGTATTTTGCCTTTTCTGAGTGCGACATTACCTTATCACAGAGGCTCTTCAGTGGTACAACCCAGCCTTGGCGATTATGTAGTTTGATGAACTTCTTAAATTCCTCCTCAAGAATTACATCAGTACAGCAATTCCTCCATTTATGGTCATACCTGGAATCAGTCTTTCTGAAAAAAATAAATTTAACAGAACTGATACTCCTTTGAGCATTAATTAAAGTTTCTTGACGGTTTCTCTATTTCTTTTTCGATAATCTCTCAGAACTCGCTTTAGAATTGTTTCTGATACGATTTATCTAGAAAGACAAACGGACACGGCCGGAAACTTTCCGACAATTCGATACTGCTGCTCTTATACATATCGAGCCAATCACGAGTTTGTATTCCTTACAATATATCAATATAAATATGAGTCCTTATTGCTTACTATATATAATTAGAAACCACTAGGTTGGTGTGCCTGTTTGCTTGCCTGTTTATTCGCCGCGATATCGATATTACCTAGAGAGACCCGTGCAGATGTGGTCTCTAATCTGTGATAGGTGAAAGCTAGATCAAGATCAAGAGAGCTTACATGAGATCAGAGAAACCGCGCAATAAGGAGGGTGAACATGCACCGGAAAAAGCGGGCAGGAAGGGCTCCCACTAAGGGCTGCAGGCCAGAAAAAAGTGTTGGAATGTGCAAGATCTAAGGTGTGCTGGGCACAAGTAAACTCAGAAAAGCTACGCCTCGGGTGGGCGGAGCGTTTGAATAGGTGCTTTTTAGAGGAATCCATGGCTTCGTTCAAGAGCGTTCAAGCACCAGGAAATAAGTGAATGGAGGTTACTAAAGGGATAGCTGCCAAACTTCGATAGTAGGGAGGAACTGCACTGAGGTGGGCGGAGCTGCGAACAAACGACGGTGGGTCTGCTCGGAAACATCCTAGAATCTTCAGTACATCTAAAGCAGCTGACCGTTTGCCTTTGTCACCACCTTACATGGCGTCTTCCTGCAATTGAAATACATCGGAAATATATAATTCCTGATTTCGTGGACCTGACTGTGCAAAGTTAAAATGGATACAGTTGACAGAACGGATAGTAGAAGGCAGGAGTGGATTCCGTCCTTGCTCTGTTCAAGCATGGAGCGTTCATGTGTGCTAGGATTTACGCTGTGGGGATGTTCCCCAGTACAACGGCTTCCTAGATCATTCTGTTGTGCAATGGATCGATCAGTCACAGCTCTGTTACTACAGTGGTACAGTTTTACAACTCTCAGGAGACTGAAGAGATGTGGACGTAGCCATCAATAATGGCAACCGATTTTCACATTGTTCTCGATATGGGCTGCTGCAAACTACTAATATTCAGAATGAAAGAAGAATCAGCTCAGCAAGACATTTTAACCCTAACAAAGAAGAGGAGAGCTTGTGGTTAGCCGGACGATCCTACTCGTTAAGTACAAGGTGCGCCATAAATATGACAAAGGGAAAGGTTCGGTTCGGGGATGGTTCCCCCAATTCTTCACCTTCTATCACATTTATAATACCCCTGAGCGCTCTGGTGTTCTCAATTCGTTACTTTTCAAACAATGGTGAAGCCTTGCACTCACCCATCAGCCGTTCCGTCTTTGCGCGCGTTTGATGAGGGCTTTTCCAAGATAGCTCGTCGCTTTCACATTTCTCCACGAGTTTATTGAGTTCCGATGCGTGGACAGGTCGAAGGCAAGACCGAAATTGAATGTCATGCCCCAGTTACCACCTCCTTTGCAATGATTTCTTTCCGAAAACTGGAGAAGTACGACAAAAATGGCTGTTGAAGGGAATGTATTTGCTTCTTCGATTGGGGAACTTTTCCTCGAGCAATTACAACTATATCTGCATAGATTCCGGAAGCTTCTTGCGCTTTCTGACGATAAGAAGGTAAAGAAGAAAAATGAATGTAGTGCCATATTTGCGCTCGGCATGCCCTTTGACATACTTTTCTCTGACGAAAAGGTGTTTTGTGTGGTAGAAATGTTCAGGTCTTAAAGTACACGCTTGTTTCCCACTACAACTGCCAAAGCCGAAGAAAGGGATTGAAAAATGTCTCGTAAATATTTTCTCTTCTATGACGTTTTATGATTCAGTCTGTGCAATCAGCCTGACATCGTTTATTTTTGTCAAGAAAAATATGAAAATTAATCAGAATCTCCATAAGGCACATTTTTGAGAAGGCGCTGCTGTCGAAATTTCCTCGATGGTACTACCCGAAAAATCCGAAGCACCTGCTTACAAATGGAGAAAGATAAGAGATTGGTCCTGGAAAATATTCGCGATTCCATCCCCACTTGCGAATGGCTTACAGAACCTCGGGACAGGTGTGGGTGGTACGTACTGGAGAGGGACACTTGCGCTTCAAAGCACGTCATAGTTGCTGTTCCCAATGAATCGTTGAGGAAGGCCGGACTGATATTCCCCCAGAACCTTACGTGTCGCCATCGCCGAGTACTCAGGGCGGGGTCTGGCATCTTCTCCCCGAACGGCGTGTCGCGCTCGCCGCACGCGATCGCACGCTGTGAAGGGAAAGATTTGAATTCCAATTGGAAGGATACGCAGAGTCGCTGCGGAACCACTGCCGCAGGCCCAGGAAGAAAAGTTCCGTTACCCCGCTGGGCGTCTTCGAGCAATAATTAGTACGGGAGACGGTTATGTAAATTGACCGTATGTTCGTTTTGTTGATACGATGCATTGTAAATAGTTCAAATGAACTCACACGTATCTGTGTAATATGGAGTGGGGTTAGACTAATTATTTTGCTAGCATACTTATCGGGCACTGTAGTCCCTACCATATAGAATCCACAAGTTTGGAATTTATATAACCACTCCTCTTGGTGCCTGTCCTCTCACACTGTTACGCACACAGCTTAGACGTGAGCCGTCAGCCAGCTAGCCTACCAACCTTGCACGATATGGCTAAGATAATATTGCTGACAATGATTTCGTTAATCCATAACTGCAGTTCAAAATACACTGCTGACAAGCTCAATCACGGCACCAGAGACACTCGTCCACCTATGAAGATCGTTTTGGTTTTACTTCCGCTTTCGATGTTATCGATTAACTGACAAGTCTAATGGTGTTCTTTGATCTTACAACTCAGTGATACTTGACTGAGACTTGTGTGATTGAAACTGCTTTCAAAAAAGCTCGAAGGCGCTCTTTGATACATAGCTCATGTTTCTTAGTTCACTTTGTCCCTTAATATGTCGGTTTTGTGAGAATGGTTTACAGGGCAGGATGCAATTGCTGTTGCAAGTAATTCGAAGGGTGATTATACTATTCTGCAAGCTTATAGTAGTTGATCTTCTTACGCTAACTGAAGAGTTGCTTCCTATTTTATGACTGCTGGAAATCTTCCTGCCTGATTTCCGCACCTGCAAAACACTAACAAGGGAATGATACTTGGTCGCAGTGGCCATTGAAGATGAGATGTATACCGCCGTAGGTGGTTACAAACACTGATCTCACATCTGCGTTCAAAATCTGCTATACGATTCCGGGAACAAAGTTACGGAACCGTGCCTCCCTGTGTAATACCA